TATTTTTTTCTGTTTAAAATTAGTTTCGTTTAGTTAAAAAATCATAATAAGAAAATCTGCTTTTTAAATACTAATTAAGAAATCAGCTTACAACTAGTATCTTAAAATAATAATTATGAGAAATGCTCTAAAAAATCGTGCTCTTATCCGTATTCTGTACAAAATTTTAGTACGATTCTTGGTTTTAAAAAAAAAAAATCGGCGTTTTGCTTTCTTAAACGCCAATACTGGCCACTTTCTCTCCCTTTGTTGCTACCTCATCCCCGTACTGACTTAAAGAGTAACCCAGTTTCCATGTAATCCGGTCAACCTACCTTTCTCTCCAGTGCCAACTTAAGGTGGAATGGACTATAGTAATAATAATGAAACGCGCCGTCATACAATCTTGGGAGTGATGACGTCACGTTCAGAATGACGTTTTAGCTGACGTACACTAGCAATAGTATTAAATTGCATTGTCCATGAAAATCTCATGACAAGGTAGATTTTAGCTGAGCATACGAAACGCTGCGAACGGAAACCTTATAATTATGTAGATTTAAGATGATTTTCACCTTAGAACTAGCTTTATTCAAGGGTTTTTTTTTCTCGCTTGAAAACCCTAAGACAACCTCGTTTTAAGGTTGTTATGTGGAAGGTTGTTTCCCAAGGTTTTGGATTAGGGTAATATGCGTAGAATAGAGCAGATTGTCGCAGACCTCGTTTTAAGGTTAGAAGGTTTACACGAAAACCGTGTGAAAAATCCTTTTTAGGTTTACATGAAAAAGTTTTTGTTGGGTGAAAAAAAACTTATTTTGCTATCTGGGGTCATTTGTTTTAATTAACAATTTTCCTTGACGTGTGTGCATACACGAAATGATTTTTCCGGGACAGCTTACTGTGTTGTTTAGGCTTTCTTTTAACAGGATCGGTTTTTTTGCAAATGAGTTTTGGTCATTAGGAGTGAAGAGGATAGCGTATGTTGATAATCCACCAGCCGTTGCATATTCGAGTTTCTCGGCAACTGAGTGTTCAAATTCCAGTATTGTTGGAGTTGATATTTTAGCAGGTCTTTCCAAATTCGAGTCGAAGTCCATTTCATCTTCTCTCATATTGAGATATGGAAGGTGAATCAATCCTCAAGCTGTACTATGGTAGTGAACTGCGGCAAGCCAAGCCGCACCGATGGGCGGTGCCCGGGTTGATAATTAAGGTAGTTTTGCAATATTATTTGAAAGGCGATATTGCAATGCGAATATAGTAATTAGATAACTGCTATATAAGTACAAGAGAATAAGAATATTTAACTCACTGCTTACTTGTCAATAATTCAAAATCGAATCTCGTCAGACGACGAACACTAACATCTGTCGAATTCCATTACATAGAAAAAGAAAAATTCGACTTCGACCGATAGATGGGAGGAAAAATGAAGATCGCAGTCCGTTAGCAAAATCCGTTCGAAAGCGCGAGGTTTCAGGTTTTCCTTAGGAGTAGAAACGTGACGTCGAAATGACGTCATTTTTCTCTTCCTAGCTCGTTCGAAGGCTGCGAGGTTTGAGCTCTTGGACAGAGAAATCCGTCCAATTTCTCGGATTCAAGAAATTGGACCGTGTAAACAGGCCTATACTATTATATAAGATTAATTATATAACAGTATATTAGTAGTATAAGTTAATTACTGTAGCTATCAGCACACTTATTTTTTCTTTTCACGAATATTATAAGATAATTTTAAAAAATCGTGTATTTTCTGAAAATTCATTAAAAACTAATATCATTATTAAATGAAAATTTATTCCTCTTATCACCATCTGTTCGTTGAAATTTAGCGCCATCTGGCAATGATTTGATAAACTTTCTATCCAAAGCCGAAAATCTCGCAGTCAGTTGTAAAGGGATAGGTTTGCACCATTTGGCAACTTTTCGCTGTTTACAACTGGCTGAGGCGTCAACAATTTCGAACCGCGCATGCGCAGTTGCTCAGCCGCTTGTACCCACAGACGCAAGTAATCCTCTATGCAAGTAACAAAATATGTAAACACACCATGGTAACAATTGCTGTAAAAAACCTATTTGACTAACAGTATTTTAATTTGATTTGGAAGCTTAGAATAAAAAACTATTTTTGGTCATATTTTATTTCTTCAAGTTTTATGCAATTCAAGCGTCAAATTTAATTCTGATAATGGAAAGTCGAGATAAAGAACATCTTTTGGCCTTAAAAGGTTAGTTTATTTTAATTAGTATTGCTGTTCTGAGACTCAATCTTAATGATTTGGGGGTTGACCAACAATATAATAATTAATTAGTGCAGACGATGTTTTAAGTTACAAAATCAAGCACATGAACTTACTTTTCTGAATAAACATGCCCTTTTCTTCCACGGATTTGGGTTTCTGACCCCCCAAAACAAAAATGATAATTCTATGAAACCAGGGTTTCCGCTACGGTAGCTTTTTTCGCAAAATGCGAAAAGACCCCTCAAAAATGCTAAAATCCAACAAAGCATTTTCGCATTTTTGCTAATGGATTTTACTAAATTCCATTTAAAAAAAAGCTTCCGCGAAAAACCATGACGCTAACATCTTTAGCTGCCTTAATTTGATTAAAACTAATATTCGAAACAGGTTGTTAATCAACCATGTAAACAATTTGTTAATGATTAATATTGAGGGCCCTGAAAGTGCATTTAACTTTCAAGAAGCATTTGTAAAATGGGCAAACATGAAAGAAAGGAAGATTGTTAATTATAAACCAAAATGTTTTGATAAATAATAAATGTGTTTTTTTTGTTTTTGTTATAGGTATTCTTTTTGATATTCTTGTACATTAAGCTATTCTTTGTCAGATAACTTACAGTACTTGTTTGATATAAAGTAATTTTATAAGCCTAATGGCATTTTAGCATTTTGCTAAAACTTTTTTTCAGATTTTAGCTTTTTTGCTAATGAATTTTTAGACTCAGCTTAAACCCTGTATGAAACTTATCTTTCGATATGCTTTATTACTATAATATTTCATTTTTTTTTTATTTATTAAACCACATGCTTGTTAAGTTTTTCGTCCTTTTAGAATAAAAAAGTTAAAAGAAATTATATTTTAGCATTAAAATTACTATATAAGATTAGAAGCAAATAAATAAATAATATTTTTTTACCTATTTTAGCATAAAATATAGAGTGTTAGATGTTTAAAGTTTACATGGAGGTAAAAAAATATTCCTATTTTACAGAAAACAATTCATAAAAATTGAATTTTGAACTTAACTTTCTGTTTGGACCTATTGTTCAACTGTTCCTCTGTAATTCTTAACGAAAATTAATATTCTTTGGTTGTTTATGATATTAGAAGCAAGTAAATAAGCAGCTGTAACTAAATGCTGTCTGTACTGATAGATAGTTTGTAAACATGAAACTTGTTATTAGTTTCTAAAACTAAAAAAAAATGTGTGCCTCAATCTCTCTAATGGCTCTTAAAAAGAACAAACTAAATATCTTAATTTAAAAAGAGAAAATAAGTGATTTTTAATGCATTCCCTCTTTGCTTCCTGGACAGATTTTCCCCACCTGACCCTATCACAAGCCATGATGGCGTTACCTTTTTAATATTTATTAACTTTTCGTTTTTTTTTCTTCTCATTTAATATTTTATTTTGGTACAAACACGGTTGCAAATAGTTTAAATGATAAGTACAGTGTGCAAAATAAAAAATAGACTACCCAGAATAACTTGATCATGGCCGGATTTACGCCCCGCAGATCCTATTTCTCCCCCCCTCTTTTTTTAAAGTTTTATTCGGAGCTGGGGCCCTCAGAAGCCCAAAATGCATTTTTTTCTCTTTTTTACATTGTCGGACATAATAAATATAAATAAATGACTGAATAAAACAAAAAACTTCGTTGTCATTAGTAGGAAACATCATCTTTCAAGCAATATGAGTATTAATAAATTATTTATAAATAAAAATTTTTTGCTTAAAAGGTAAAAAAGTTTTTTTTTGCCCCATCATTCGATCATCAGACTATTTAGTATCTGTTTCTAAGGATCAGAATTCCCTTTTATTTTACTTTAAAATTGTACAAATGATATATTTAATGCTTTCATGTGATATGCAGCAGTTTTAAATAGCACTTTAAAATATCTAAAAAAGGACAGAAATTGTTAGCTCAGAAAAAAATTAACTAATACTTTTGAATAAGAATTTAAATAACTACACACGTTTGTTTTGCTATCTCATTCTATATGCAGGGATGTGATTCTTGCGCGAATTTGCAGATTTCCGCTTTTTTTCAATTTTTCCCGCTAATTTCCGCGAAATTTTTTTTTTGCACAAGTTAAAATAATTTATGAGGAATTTAATTTTCCGCGGAGCAAAAATATTTAAATCCTCATTCCTCTCTCTGAAGTTTCTCTAAAAATCATTTCCTTGGGATAATACTGATTGACCTTTATACAGGGATGAGATTTTTTCGCTTTTGTCTCTCAAATTTCAGCCTTATTATCAAAAACTACGATTCTCTAAAAGTTTCGTTTTTCTTAAAATAAATATTCCGATTTTTTTTAAAAATTCAGTCGTTGAAATAAAATAATTATATTTATTTACGATTTTCAAAGATAAACAGAAAATTCAAACTGCGTCCTAGCTGCTAACTCTTCCGCATTTTTACTTATTTTAGCTAATTTCTTCGCTTTTGCGAACAGAAAATAAGATTTTCCGTATTTTTATCCGTTCTCGGGATAGCTCGTATTTTCGTAATTCGTCGTATTTCGTTCCGTTGCTGCTTCCTGTTTTCTGGCGTGAAAGCAAACGAAAGAAGAAAAAAAAAATAGAGGAGAATTTGCGGTGAAAATATTTATTTGCTCATTCAATTTTGTTAATTTTTATTTATTATGTCTAAACAAAAACAATACAAACAAGCCTTTTAGAAATCCTAAATCCAGACTCTGCAAACATCGATTCTTATGTCTATCATCGATTTTCGTATTTACCTGATTTAAAAGTTGCGCTTTGCGATTCTTATTCATGCTATTTAAATATTGTGCATTATGATTCTTATTTACGAGATTTAAAAATCCAATATCGCGTTTTTTATTTACTCGCTTTTAAAACCCTATGTTGCGATTCATATTTACGCGAGCTTAAAATCCAAAGTCGTGATTCATTTTTGCGGTTGTAATATCAAACATCAATTTTCGTATTTATACGTGCTTTTTAAAAATTAGAATTGGGATTTGTATTCGCGCGATTTAAAAATTATGCATCGTGATTCGCAATTATGTGATCTAAAAATTACGCATCATGATTTGTATTTTTGCATTTTTTAAATTCGATGGAGTTTCATATTCAAGTGATTTAAAAGCCTCATATCGGGATTCATTTCCTCTCAATTTAAAATCATGCATGTGATTCATATTCATACAATTTTATAATTAACCATCGGGATTTATAATCACATAGTTTACAAGTTTGCAGATCGCATGTTTTTGGGTCAAATTTTTGGATATATATATATTCATTCATGGATTTCCTCTTTTTTACTTTCTGACTACTCTCATCCCTGTATATAGCATTATTTAGAGTAGACAGTTGCGTGTGGGTGTGATGATGACGTAAAAGAAAAAAGCAAATTTCATTCAAAAAAAGCAAATTTCATTTCAGTTAAAATCCTCAATATTATATTTTTAAACTCCTCGAAAATGTAGTAAAAGAGGTATACAAATTAACTGTCGCAAACAAATTAATATTAAAAAAGAACGAAACAAAAATGATATTGAAATATGCTGAATCCCTAATGAGACCGGGATGAAAGACATCGAAACCTATTTGATTGAATAGTAAAACTAGCAGGTGTTTCTAAAATTCTGAAATCTATCAGGCTTTAATTTTTTTTTTCTGTCACAAACTTTATCAGTAATTAAAAATAATAAATTCGTTAGATTTTAATATTGGTTCTGTTTGTTGATTAAATGTTAAACATTAACAGATATTTTTCTTTTAAAACATTTCATTCTATAATAAGATAATTATTCTACAATTGTAATTATCTAAAACTAATTGCTAATTGATATAAAGCTTTAGTGAGTTCCATTGATATGTTGAATGCTCGTTTTGGCTGGATGCCTGGGACAGTTGCTCCTTCACATCCTAGCCACTATACACTATCAAGAGCAGAGCTGATACTTTAAACCCGTATGACGTTTATTCTCTCTGATATTTAATAGACCCTTTAATAAATCCTTAAAAATATGAGCCAAAAATTTACATAAATAATGACAATTTTTTTTTCTTTTTTTTGAATGTACTTAAAATAATTAAAAAGGAAGCAAAAATAATGAAGAAATATTTTCAATATAAACATCAATTAAATAATATCAGCTTTTCTAAAATGTTCTTTTTATTTTTACAAACAGTTTTAATATAACGGCCCTCACCTGCTCCAGGGACTGCTGGATTGGGTTCAAAATGACAATGCTACGGAGTTGAATATTAGTAGCAGGGTTGCCACAGGCGACTAAAATGCAACTATTTTTGGCATAAGGCGACTATGGCAACTTTTTTTGCCTGAAAAGGCTAAAAACAGCAACTATTTTCAAGAAAAGGAGACTATTGGGAGACTTTTCTGTACTACTAGAGATTTTTTTTTCAAGCATAAATTGGTGAAAAATCTGCGCCCCACTAGATAGTTCCTGAACACACTAAACTTTTTTTTCTTAGAAAATAAAAAATGTTAAAAATTTTGAATTGCAAATTTGAGTCTTCACTTTTTAATTCGTTCAATCTGCACAAATTCCATTGTAAGTCTATTTCATTTCTCGATCACCTTTTAAATGATTATTGTTACAAAATTCTGCATGATTTTTTTTATTTTTTTTTAAAAAACAATTTTTTAACAGTATTACAATGCATGAATTTCGAATTTTAGAAATCACTTTTCATATATGAAAAACATATATATGAAAATTATCATATTTGCCACCAACTTGACTGAATGGATCATGGTATATGACAATTCCCAAGTAGCACATAATATTAGATAACATCAGAAAATCGGCAAAATCTAACGTTATCTTGCACAACTTCTAATATTAGAAAGATACAAGAGGTTGCTGTTTGCTCTGCAATATATAATATTAAATTCTAAGCAAACTAATATTATCTAGCGTTCGCCATATTATTATTTTGCATTAGTTTTGATGCTATGTAATATTAGATTTTATATTTTCTGATATTATTTTGCTTTGCTTTTTATTTGTTTGGAGTAAGCAAGAGGAAGATATGGATGGTAGTAGAATAATTCGGCGATACAATTTTACCTAATTTTCTGTATTGTAGTGAAGCAGTAAAACATAGAACAATAGTTTTATGTCATTCCATGCATTATTTACTTAGCAATACAGAAATACTAAATAAAATTAAATTAGCTAATTCTGCTACCTTCCATTTTTCTCTTCCTTACTCCAAAATATATCATATGTTCAGCTGATTTTTTTGAATATTTCGAACTAAATTAGGAAATATTTTATTGCAACTGTTATTGATATTTTTTTCTTTTATTCATACAATGGGTTTTCTGATAAATTTTATATCATTAATAATTTTCAAGTCTTTAATTTTAAAATGTACTCTTAATTTTTTTTTAAAAAAACTGGGCTTATTTTATCAAAATCTCAATTTAATTTGTTAGTTTGTAATTATATAAATTTTTTAAATGTGTGAGCCATTTGTAATTTCACAATTATCATTCATATCATTATCATTCATTTATATTCTGAAATTATATAATAAAAACCACACTATATAATTATAAAGTTATATATTTACATTTGAACTGAGTGGAAATTTAAACTTAAAATTTTTTCCTCTTTTAATATTAAAATTGTTCAATTTTTAAGTGGACATTTCTTGTAATAATTGGCACAATAAAGAACAAAATTTAAAAATATTCAAATTACTTACTTCAACAAATTTACACATATTTTTCCCCCCGTCTTTTTTCACTAGAATTGCTAAATCGAGAAATACTTACGTAACTTTATTCTTTTAGTATTTGAAATTTTATTTAGCAAAACACCTAAAAGCAAAATTCAAGCGCAAGGTAGAAATTTTTCCAGGGAATGAAACCAGGAAAGCAACTAATATCATAAAAATTGCTAATATTTTTTTATAATGTTAAAATAACTTTTATGGGCATATCTGAAATTTTCATCAATTCGATAATTATTTAAAGGTGTTGTGTTCTATTAAACTAACAATCTTTGTAAAAAATTTACACAACATTTTAATTTCAAAACTGTCAGTAAATAGTATGTGTTATCTAAATTAAATTTGCACAAATATATAATTGCATACAGGAAGGAGATGAAAAAATAATAAATTTTTTTACATTATCTTTTAAAAGTTAACTTTAGTATTAATGATCAAAATTTAACTACAATCAATTACTCTTTTGAGAAAGTTACTACAGTGGAAAGTCGCGTTTCCGGAATCGGCGGGACTTCCAGGAGTCCATATATTTGATTTTTCCGTATAATTGACC